TAGACAACAGTGGCTACACTAGGGTTGTGGCAAAGGGGAGGGGGAGAAGTGGGAAGATCCAAGACACAACCGATAAGACTGCTTAACAGATGGGAGAGGGAGGAGTCAAAGGATCTCACCAGGCCTGAGATCATTGGATGTGAACAACAGTGCCATTCCCTGCAAACAGGGGACACACGGGTTTAGGGGATAAAATATTACGGGTGTATAAATGGCTGTGTCCTGAAGGCCACAGGAATGTGTGTAAACAAGGTTGAGACTGAGATCCAGCTGCGGGAGTCATTCAGCCAATGGTGACAACTGCATGTCAAGGAAGAGTGTGCAGATGAGGACAGAAGGGACATGAGATGCTCACGGTAAGATCTCAACAAGGAATTCAGCAGAAATCAAGGGGGCGAGAGGAAATGCCACGCCAGCTGATGGTCTGGGGGGAAAGAGGAACTCATATAAAGGAAATTAACTTTGGAGCAGAGGGAATCAGGATTATGTATCCAAATGAATATAATCATAATAGCTATAATATTTAACTGATATTTAATGTGTACCAGACAAAATTCTAAATATTTTACATGTGTTATCTTCTAATTCTCACAATAATATCCCAATTTTATAGATGAGAAAATTGAAATACAAAGATTTAGTGATCTGGCCCAAGTCACACTGCCATTAGGTAGAAGAGTTGGAATTTAGACCCACGTCTTTTCATTCTAGAACCTGTCATGCAATTCTGCCTCCCATGGGCAACAAATCAGCATAAGTTTTTAGGTTGCATTGTAAACTCACAAAATTAATGCTCTGTTGCTCCAGAAATCCTAATCCTGGGCCTAAATCTTTTCTACAGAGGATTATTTTTATGCACATTTTCAGATATGCTATCAGGCACACTAGGGCTGCTGAAAACATTATCATGTATCACTTTCAACCTCTCCTGGAGCTCGAAGGGATTTGTGGATTTGCAGCTTAAAATGAAACAAAACAACGAGGTCACACATTTAGCCAAGTGGTTAAGATACTAGTTAAGAGGCCGTTGTCCCACATTGGAGGATCTGGGTTCAATAGCCCACTCTGGCTCTTACCTCCAGCTTCCTGCCAGTGTAGATCCTGGAGGCAGCAGTGATGGCTCCGGTGATTGGGTTCCTGCTACCCTCTTAGGAGACCTGGAGAGAGCTCCCTCCCAGCTCAGCCTAGTCCCAGTTGTTACAGGCATTTGGGGAGTAAACCAGCAGATTGTTTACTGAGTTACTGTCTCTGTCTGTTTCTCTTGTCTCTCTTCCTCTCAAATTTTGTTTTAAGATTTATTTAATTATTTGAAAGGCAGAGTTACAGAGAGGCAGAGGTAGAGAGAGAGGGAGAGAGAGAGAGGTCTTCCATCTGCTGGTTTACTCCCCAGATGGCCACAATGGCCAGAGCTGCACTGATTTGAAGCCAGGAGCTTCTTCCAGGTCTCCCATACAGGGGACTTGAACCAGCGCCCAAAGGGGTTGCTGGCTCTGCAGGCAGCAGCTCTACCCACCACACACTGGCCTCTCAAATAATTTTTTTTAAATATGATGCTTCTTCTTTAATGTTTTCTCAACAGAATCTACCCTCAAACCACTGAAACTTGAGGCAAGAACTCAAAGATGGGGCTCGTATTGTGGCATAGTGGGTAAAGCCAGTGCCTGTGATGCCGGCATCCTCTGTGGGCACCAGTTCGTGTCCTGGCTGCTCCACTTCTAATCTAGCTCCCTTCTAATGGCCTGGGAAAAGCAGTGGAGATGGCCAACTACGACCCATGTAGGAGACCCAGATGAAACCCTTGGCTCCTGGCTTTGACCCGGCTCAGCCCTGGCTATTGTGGCCACCTGGGAAGTGATGGAAGATTTTCTCTCCCTCCCTCTCTCTCTGTCTCTCTCTCTCTCTCCCCAACATCTTCTGTGTCTCATAAATTATTAATCATAGACAAAAATGTTATATATAATTTTTAAACATTTGAAACAAAATACTAAATGGTATCAGTGAAGCATATTTCTGCTATTTCCAAGTACAAAAGGCAGGCTTGGAGGTATAGTGTGGATGCTAAAATATTGACAACTTCCAGGTACACTAGTGGTTTGTGGAGACAGAAAAGCTGAAGTCAACATTGTCATGGTTCTTCCAAGCTATGTGGCAATGTCACTTCTCTGGTTTCACTTGTGTAGCCCCTGGAAGAACTTTAATCATTGAAAAGTAATATACATTTATATGTGCTAGAGGACATTTTGAAAGGGGATCAAGGGGCTGGTGCTGTAGCATAGAGGGAAAAGTCACCATCTGTGGGGAGCAGCCGGACTAGACTGAGTTACTGGAATTAAGACTTATTCTATGCATCTGCTCTCCCACAATATGGCGCTGGGAGAGAAGTAAACAGCTTCCGCACAGCTGCCTCCAGTTCAACTAATAAACTGTAGGACTTGCTCCTGATTGGAGAGCAGCGTACTCGGCGTGTGGGCAGCCGAGTTAGGATTGGCGGAGGAGGACTATAAAGGAGGAGAGAGCCGGCATGCACCAGGAACATCTATGGGGAACATCTAAGGGAACCCGTGCAGCCCCCGAGAAAGCCGGCCGGCGGTGTGCCGCTCCCCTGCGGAAGTGGGGAATGTGGCCAGGGGGAACTGCCCTTCCACGGAGGTGGAAGGGATAGTAGCCAACCCGGGAAGAACCAGCAGCAAACCCGGGGAGGGCCGAGCAGACAGAAAGAACAGCGCAGGGTCCTGTGTTGCTCCTCCACGAAGAGGGGGAGCGACAACCATCTGCAGTGCTGGCATCCTATATGGATGCTGGTTCGAGTCCACTTCCAATCCAGCTCTCTGCTATGGCCTGGGAAAGCAGTAGAAGATGGCCCAAGTGAGTGGGCCCCTGCACCCACATGGGAGACCAGGAAGAAGCACCTGGCTCCTGGCTTTGGATCAGCACAGCTGCAGCCATTGCAGCCATCTGGGGAGTGAATCAACAGAAGAAAGACCTTTCTCTCTGTCTTTCCCTCTCACTGTCTGTAACTCTGCCTTTCAAATAAATAAATAAAATCTTAAATAATAAAAAAAGAAGATGGTCCAAGTCCTTGGTCCCCTGCACCCACATGGGAGACCCGGAAGAAGCTCCTGGCTCCTGGCTTTGGATCAGCACAGCTCCAGCCATTGCAACCACTTGGGGAGTGAACTAGCAGATGGAAGATCTCTCTCTGCCTCTGCATCTCTGTAACTCTGCCTTCCAAATAAATAAATAAGTCTAAAAAGAAGAAAAGAAAGGAGGGAAGGAAAGAAGGAAAGAAGGAAGGAAGGGAAGGAAGGAAGGAAAGGAAGGAAAGGAAGGGAAGGAAAGGAAGGAAGGGAAGGAAAGGAAAGGAAAGGGAAGGAAAAGAAGGAAAGGAAGGAAGGAAGGAAGGAAGGAAGGAAAGAAGGGCTCAGCACTCTGAGGGGTGTGATTTCCCCAGGTGGGGCTGGTTGGAAATGGAAGAACTTGTATGCTTTGTTCGACTACAGTTTGCAGACAAGTATGCCCAGCTGGGAGTAACCAAAAGCAGTAACAGCAAACTGGCTCAGGCCACTGGCTCTCTTTCTGGGTTATACATTGGGATCAACTGGGAAGCTTTAAATCATTGAAGCCACTGCCAGAAATTCCTATGCTATCCAACTTACAGGCCCATCTCAGCACTGGGACCTTGAAAACGCCACAGGCGATCCCCACGGGCAGCTAAGCTGGAGAGCCAGTTTTCCTCTCTCCCTTCCTTACTTTCCTCCTTCCCTCCCTCCCTCTTTCTTTCCTTCCTTTTTATGACATAACACAAAACCCAGAAGGGGGTGGACCAACACCTGCGCCCCTGCTGAGGGTGACCTCAGACAGTGGAGATCGCTGTCTCCTTCTGTCCTTCTCGCCCTCGGTTCCCAGCTTTCAATCTCATTCTCTCAGCAACGTAGTGGCTGCTGCCATAGGCACTGAATCTAAGCTCCGTGATGGAAGACGGTAGGCAGAGGGGGAAAGGCTTCTCCTCACCCATCTTTGCCTTTTTCTTCAGACATTGAAGCGGACCTCAGGGAGGTCTAAGAGCCCGAGTGGCATTGCATGGCCATGGGATCAGCACGTGTTACTTGGCAGCCTCTGTAGCAGAAGGCAGGCGACAAGGCAGTTGCAACGATTGCTGAGTGAACTGAGCTACAGCGTCTGCTGAGAATCAAAGTACTACTTTTCTAAGTTTTCAAAATGTAAACATAGTGCTATGAAGACATACCTGGGAGCAATTTCATCATACCCTGGCCTGCCCACCACTCAATTTTCCACTCATGCTATCCAAGCCCCAGATAGCTCTGCTACCTTTTCAGAGGCTTCAGTAATTGGTGAATACGCAGCCTTTTCAAGTCCCAAAGTTTCGGACCAGCGGAAAAGAGGATTAGCTTAAGCTCGGAGTGTGGGATGACCACAAAATCCTCCCCAAAGTCCTGGCCTCCTTTTGCCTGAGAGTCTCCAAAATAAATTTAATTTCTGTGCTGACCTGAACTTCACATTAAACTATTTACTGCCAAGGGTTTGAATTACTGCAAATATGTCCCTTGGGTCTATCCCAGTTGAATTAATAATCAGAGCCCCCGCTACAATCTCTTGTTTGGCAGTTATTTGTATTCCAATCTTCCTCCTGAACTTAAGACTCATGATTTCCAACTTCCTTCTGGAAAAGAACACCTCCACGTCCCACGGGCAAGTCCAACTCAGTATGTCACAGTGATCTCATGATGTTCCCCTCCTAATGCCTGTGTCCCCCATCCCAGTGAACGGAATGACCACTGATCAAGTTGTTTGAACTACAACACTCAGAGCTGTGCTCTAATCTTCTTTCATTGCATACCTCCAGTCACAATCACATCAATTCTATCACACATAGCTTGTCAATCTGTCCCCTCCTCCTCCAGTTCAAACCTAGCTCATCTTCTCCCTGGATCCACAGAGCAAAAAGGATGGCAATGCCCTGGAGGTAACCAACCTCTCACCTTCAAGAAGTGGAAACAAAAGCCAGTAGGGCTGGAAACGAAAGAGCAAGGAAGAAAGTGTCAAGTGGAGCAGTCAGAGTCAGGCTGGGTCCAGGCTGCAGTACGCAGTGAGTTGTTCTGTGCTGTTGGTGATTGTGATGATAAAGCCACAGCGGTGCTTGCGCATGGAAAGTCGTTGACTTAATAAGCTTAGTCTGGTTGACGCTCCACGTTGGCTCCTATCCCTTTTGTAAAAAAAAAAAAAAAATTAAAATTAAAAAAAAAATTACACTTAAAACCCAATAATACCCACAACCTCCAGCATCATGTGAAAAACATCAGAAAAAAATTCCAATCAAAGGGCATCCTACAATATACCTGATGAGTACATCTCAAAACCTGTCAAGATTATCAAAGAAAGAGAAATAGAGACTGGGAGGGAGGGAAGGAAGGAGGGGAAAGTGTTAAGAAGCTGTCTTGTCAGCCAAGAGCCAGAAGAGACATGAGGATTTAATTAACGTGGCATTTCAAATGAGATCCTCAAGCAGAAAAAAGACATTAGGTAAAAACTAAAAACCATGGACCTTAGTTACTATCAACGTAGATAATATCAATGTATCAATGTATGTCCATTAATTGTAACAAATGTGCTAAGTTATTGTAAGATATTAGTAACAGGGAAAACTGTAGGGACTGTATGGGAACTCTGTTCTGTCTGCCCAGTTTTTCTATATATTCAAAACTGCTGTAAGAAATAAAAATTTGGGGCTGGTGCTGTGGCTTAGCAAGTAAAGCATCCACCTACAGTGCTGGCATTCCATATGGGTGCCAGTTCGAGTCTCAGCTGCTCCACTTCTGATCCAGCTCCCTGATAATACTCCTTGGAAAGCAGCAGAAGATGGCCCAAGTGCTTGGGCCCTTGCACACACATGGGAGACCCAGAAGAAGCTCCTGACTCCTGGCTTCCAAATGGCCTAGCCCCAGCCATTGTAGCCATTTGGGGAGTGAACCAGAGGATGGAAGATCTCTTTCTTTCTCCTCTTTCTGTATTTCTGCCTTTCAAATAAATAAATAAATATTTAAAAATAAAGAAATGAAATGAAAGTGTGAGGCCGGCGCCGCAGCTCACTAGGCTAATCCTCTGCCTAGCGGCGCCGGCACACCGGGTTCTAGTCCCGGTTGGGGCGCCAGATTCTGTCCCGGTTGTCCCTCTTCCAGGCCAGCTCTCTGCTGTGGCCCGGGAGTGCAGTGGAGGATGGCCCAAGTGCTTGGGCCCTGCACCCCATGGGAGACCAGGAAAAGCACCTGGCTCCTGGCTCCTGCCATCGGATCAGCGCGGTGCGCCAGCTGCAGCGCGCCGGCCGCGGCGGCCATTGGAGGGTGAACCAACGGCAAAGGAAGACCTTTCTCTCTGTCTCTCTCTCTCACTGTTCACTCTGCCTGTCAAAAAAAAAAAAATGAAATGAAAGTGTGAGCACAGGTGTTTGGCCTAACATTTAAGATGCCACGGGGGGGGGGGGTGCTTTGTGGCACAGCAGGTTAAACCTTCACTCGCAACACTGGCATCCCATATTGGAGTGAAAATTCAAGTCCCAGCTGCTCTGCTTCCAATCCAGCTCCCTGCTAATGTGCCAAGGAAAGCAATGGAAGATGGCCCAGGTGCACCCACGTGGGAGACCTGGATGGAAGTCTGAGCTCCTGGCTAATGCCTGGCCCAGCCCCAGCTTGTTGCAGCCATTTCAGGAGTAGCAGTGGATTGGAAGGTGTCATGCTGCAGCCATTTTTTGCTGGCCCTCGGTGTCATGGCCTGACCTCAGCTCCCGGTGCCTGCTCACCTGAGTATTGAGAGGCAGGGGGATGGTCAGGAGACAGCCAACTAAAGAGGCCTCTGCTGCACATCCCGGCCTCAGGTCCCAGCCCCAGCAGTGCCTCCTCGCACACTTTTGTGCTGGTGGCAGCCCCCACCTCCAACCTCTGCTCCACCTCCCATGTTGGTTTTGAAAGAGTTCCTCTCGCTGGGAGTCTGCTGGGCTGCCATAACACAATAGGCAAACAAGGCTTACACTGCAAGAAGCTGATGTTCTCCTAGCTCTGAGCCTGGGAGCCCAAGGTCAAGTTTGGTTTCTCCCCTCGGCTCGCACGGCCACCTTCCTCCTGTGTCCTCACTTGGCCTCTCCTTGGAACGCACATCCCTGGGGTCTCTCTGAACGTGCTAATCTTCTTTACTCAGAAGGACACCAGTCAGGTTGGACGAGGGCCTGCCCTAAGGACCTCACTCTAACTCGGTTAACTTCATTTCCTCTTTGAGAGCCTTGTCTCCAAATACAGTCATGCTCTGAGGTCCTGGGGGTTAGAGCGTCAACGTGAGTTGGCGGGCGGGAAGGGAGAGCAGAGCTCAGCCTGCAGCAACATCCTTTCCTGGAACCTGCCGGATAATGTGCCTGCAGGGGTCTGTCTACTTCCAGCTGTGTCTTTAACGCATGCATGGATGGGTGAACACAGTGACCTTCACATAGTCACTTGTTCCTCTCCATAGACGCTGCAGAGGTTCCCGTCCAGCCTCTTGCCCCTGTGGCCATCTTTTTCTCCTGCAGCTCATATGGAAGGCAGAAGACTAAGCATCGGTGCATTAGTTATTCCATTGCTGCACATTTTGACACACAGTTATGATCTCAGCTTAAGTGGTTTACCAGTTCAGGCCCAACGTAGCTGGACCTCGTGCTGAGCGTCTCACAGGGCTGTAATCGAGGTGTGGGCCAGGGCTGTGGTCTCCTCTGAGGCTTCAGACGCACCCGGAAGCTAGCTGGCAGAGTCCAGCTCCTTGGGGTTGTAGGGCTCCGGGCTTTGGTTTTGTGGTACCCTCAGTTTTTAGAAGCTGCCCACAACCCCTGGGCACATGGGGCTCACCAAACGGCCATTTGCGTCCTCCAAGCTAAGAGAACAGTCGAGATGCCAGGACTAGGATCACACACAACACGAACTGTGGGGAGCAACTCGGACTAGACTAAGTTACTGGAATTAAGACTTATTCTATGCATCTGCTCTCCCACAATATGGCGCTGAGAAGGGAGAAACAGCTTCTACACAGCTGCCTCCAGTTCAACCAATAAACTGTAGGACCTACTCCTGATTGGAGGAGAGCAGCGTACTCGGCGTGTGGGTAGCAGAGTTGGGATTGGTGGATGAGGACTATAAAGGAGGAGAGAGACACCATGCACCAGGAACATCTATCTGAAGGAACACCTGTGCAGCCCCCGAGAGAGCCGGCCGGCGGTGTGCCGCTCCCCTGTGGAAGTGGGGAAAGTGGCCAGGGGGAACCGCCCTTCCACAGAGGTGGAAGGGACAGTAGCCAACCCGGGAAGAACCAGCAGCAAACCCGGGGAGGGCCGAGCAGACAAAAGAACAGTGCAGGGTCCTGTGTCATTCCTCCATGAAGAGGGGGAGCGACATAATGGTGCCGTGACTCGGATATGAAGCCTAGGCAGGGTTTAGTGTCGTTCCTCCATGAAGAGGGGGAGCGACAACGAACAAAACCACACACCTTCTCTGACCTTAACTGCATCCTGCCGGTTAGAAATAAGTCACAGGCCACAGCCACACTCAAGAGGAGGACACTAGACAAAGGAGTGAACGCCAGAGAGAGTACCCTTTCTCCCACACTGCTCATGTGGGAGCTGCCTGAAGGTAGAGAGCCCATCCGTCTTAGTGTCCTAGGTCTAAGAGTAGAAGAACTTGAGCTGTGCTGAGAGCCTCAGCTGCCTGAAACCTCTTGGTTAGCCAAGCTCTGGGGAGCCTCAGAGAAAGAGAGAGAGAGAGAGAGAAATATTGCCATCCTTTGCATTTAACCAGGTCCCAGAGCATATGGCACACTCCTCTGTAGCAGTCCCTAATACACAGAGCCTGCCCCCTTAGATAAATGTGCTCATTCATGATATCTATTAGGATCCAAGCCTCTGATAGGAACCAGGGCTTTGACCAATTTTTTTTAATTCCTCACTGTTCTGACCCAAGAGCTAGCATGTGGTAAATGTTCAATATGTATTACGAAGAATATATCACTACCATAATTTGAAAACAAGTGACTGTGCTGTCAGTACCTACAGAATTGAAACAGGTTTTTGGGGGCCGTCACTGTTGCGTAGTGGGGGAAGCTGCCGCCTGTGACACTGGCATCCCATATGGATGTCGGTTTGGGCCCCAGCTGCTCCATTTCTGATCTAGCTCCCTGCTAATGTGCTTGGGAAAGCAGTGGAAGATGGACCAAGTGCTTGGGCTTCTGCGCCCATGTGGGAGATCTGGAAGGGGTTCCTGGCTGCTGGCTTCAAACTGGCCCAGCTCTGGCAATTGCAGCCATTTGGGGAGTGAACCAGCAGATGGAAAATCAATCTCTCACTCTCTTTATTTCTCTCTCTCTCTCACTCTCTCTCTCTGTAACTCTGCCTTTCGAATAAGTAAAGTATTTAAAAAAAAAAAAAAGAATTTAAACAGTTTGTTAAAACACTTACGAGAGATTGCGGTCCATACAACTGAATAGAAAGGCATTTGTCATAAAAAGGCAGCCAAAGTAGATTAAACAAAAGCAACCTACAATTGTTTTTTGTAAAAGAAACAATTACAACAGTAGGTATCAACAATGATAATAATTGCCGTAATATTGTCTGTCATAGTCTACATTTGTTTTCCCATAATGTGTAACATTTCACATTTTAATTAAAAACAACCAAAAGGACTGGAAAGAGCACTAGGAACCCACAGGGCTCCTTGTGAATCATAAATCGCTTCCTTTTTTGAAAATATATGGTTATGGTGTGATGATTCACAGTATCCAATTTAATTCAACACACATTTATTGAGGGCCTACAACGCACAAGGCACTGGGATGGTGCCAGATGGCCAGGGGCGGAAATGCCAAGGCCATGGAACTTGGTTTCTTTGGGGCGTCAGACAATGCACCTCATGCCCCCGCCTCCCCCGGGATAGATAAGGGGAGGAGGGTCAGAGGTGGCAAGGTGTTGTGAGGTGGTTTTGCAGCTGACTGCGTGACCAGACCCACAGAGGGTTGATCAATCATTGGGTGTCCAACAGCAGGAAGCTTCCCACGTGAGTCATAAGCACCCCTTTAATTCCCTTCCCTGGTCAGCTTGTTTACATATGACTTGAATGAGGGAGATAAGCCAAAGTCAAGAGTAAAACGTTGTAAGTAAAAGACACAAGACACAAAAGAAACTAAACTGCATGAAATTCA